AGAAAGGTGCAATATATAAAAGGAAATGATCATAACAAGAATAATATAATATCATTACATATGTACAACCAACACTCCACCTCATAACAAGAATAATATAATATCATTACATATGTCAATCATTCTATCGAATTGTACTTTTGTTAATCCTTTAGTCAACACATCAGCAGTTTGCTCTATACTAAGCTGATTTAAATATATTTTCCAGGGACCTTCCGCAGATACCCACATTCTATCACACCCATTAACACATTTTGAGTCCTTTTTAGCCCTGAAAAAGGAGTTTCCAGTATATCACAGCTTCCTTGGTTTCCTTTTGAAGGGATTCCCACTTTTTTTTTTATTAATTTTATGATAGTGAAGTATCCAAATCAGCTTACATGCAACTCAACTTATCTCCCGGGACAACTATTTTATCCATAAATCTTAATAACCTAGGGAGACGGTCACAATAAGGTTTAAGCTCATTCATCCATAATTGACTCAACGCCAACCCGAGGTGGTTGACTCCCACCTTTATTTGGTCAAATGATGACAGCTCATGATAGCCCCACCAAATTTCATTAGCGGGTTGATTCCACAAACTCCTCTCAAATTCAACGAACATTGAGAAGGATTTTAAGCCCCACAAAGGACATCCTCAAATATACAAATGGAGACTCTTCAAACAAACTGACAAAATGAGCATCCTACCTTTTACTGAGCAAGTTCCTTCCCAAATCTTTGAACACAAATTAAAATCTAAAAGTCCATCTTCATCATTCAATTTAACTAGAAATCCAACTAAGAAACGACCATTTCAAAATCTAGTCAAAACCAACAAACTCAGCTCATTCTCCTCCTCTTCCTTCAATAGCTCAATATTTTGCTCTTAAATCCCACACCTCCCAACTGTTCTGCATTTATCTACCACCAAGTACCCCAAAATATTGCCAAAATAGCACAAGTAAATTAACAAATCCTTTGACCCTTCGTGTGGACCTAACATTTTTACAAACATATTGCACTACGGAAACAAGCAGTGGAAGAGTATATTAATTCATAAAAGTAAAAATGACCTAATTAAAGTTCTCTTGACATCAGCAGTAAGAAAGCTCCACTCTCTAATAGCAGCATCTCTAATTGCAGCAGCAGCCTGAAATCGTGCATTAGCCACCTGAGAATTTTCTGGATAAAACATGAACGGCATAAATCAGCACAAAAACCAGAAAGGTCATTTTTCACACCATAACAAGAAAGGTTCTTGAATCTATAATTTCTCGTAGTGCTTTGATGAACATGCAAAGACACAAAAAGAAATAAAATAGAGGGAGGGAGGGAGATCATAAAAAGAGCAAACATACAAACATGGTCAAGTCAAATATACTTTTTTATGCAAAACCATAAAGAATAGGAAAAATATCCTTTAAAGAAAGGATTCTTTTTGTTGATAAATAATAATAATCAACACTATAATTTACTTGGAAAGTTGATTGCATCTCTAATACTCCAAATGTGTACTTGATAAACCAAGAGGTGCTCGTATATAATAGTTCATTAATTAATCCTTCCAACTGGAAGGGACCACCAGATATTGCATAACTCACTGCCAGGAAGCTACCAAATTTTATACATTAGACTCTAACTTATTTTCCGAAACTAACCATTATAGAAGATAGTTTATAAACACCAATTCTAAAATATTTCATATCTATCCCTTCTCTATGCAGCAGCAAGATGCTATCTTCAAAATACTAGGTGGTCAAAAGTTTCAAAAGGAATCTTGAATTCTAGCCTAGTGCTATCAGGTATTTGCCAGCTTTTTGAGATTATGGTGCCTATTGTATTCATGGTAATACGGGTTCTTTTTGGTAAAATTAGAGGTCTTTTGGCCAAGGGTTTGGAAAGCCTAGGTTTGTATAACCTTGAGTTAACGAAGCTCAGTCTGTGTTTTAATCGTGTAGAAGAATAGAATAAATTTCTCAAAACTTGTATTTTTTTAGCCCTATACACTATGTTTGATTTGTAAAATTTAGCATAAAAGTTATGCAGTTCATAGGATTGGAAAACCTTTGGATTTATAGTAATTCAAAATTCTTCAGAAAATCAACTTACCAAGAATGAACTGGCATGTTTGATATGGATGAGGCGATTGCCGAAGTGATAGAATAGTTGCCTCAGCTGCAGATGGATTGATGTGCATCTAAGAGAAAATATGCATGAAAATTGTGTTCCCAAGATAATGGATTGTGCAAACATTATAACAAAAAGAAACTTAGAGAATAGCGATAGTGTGGCCATTAATACATGGTCACAAGGAACATTATAAGTATCATTTTGGAACAAATATAAAATCAAACCAGGTTAAGTCAGTTCAGGACTAAAAAGTGCAGCAAAAGCTTTTCAGAAATGATCGCCCCTTCTGAAATGATCGTAAGCTTTCACGCACAAGATTCAAATTATATGAAAATTTCCTACTAGCTATCAAAGGAATTAAAAACTCAATTTTGGCTAAGAACTGTTAAAACAGAGCTGCAGTAGCCTGATGCATATTCCTAGAGACATCAAAAGCACCGTTTTGGAATTTATAGAATAGCAAACAGGTTAAAGCAATTGAAAAGTCCATAATAAGCTTTTCTGAAACCATCAAAAGGTTTCAAGACATTCATTTGAACAGTAAGGAAATTTCTATGTTACAACCAAAATAATTCAAGACTATTTTGGCTAAATAACCGTTGATTCAGCAATGTTAACATATGGAATAATACCAATATTGATTAGATACAAAGAAGTGCAGTTTTTTCTCATTCACCCAGCTATGATTGAATCTAGAATTCATATAAACCAAACCATCAAAGCTAGGGCAGGTGGGTTTACTTCAAAAGGTTTTAACTTCCCTTTACAGTTACAAGAGGTTTCAACTAATCAAATCTTCTACGAATAGTCAAATGGTTATAAAATCCCTCTTTTATTTATTCATTACCCAAATCTAATCATTTTCGGAGCTACCAAAGACAGTAGACAGAATGAGTAGAACCTGAATGGAACTGCAGGCAAGCTCAATGGCTTGCATAGTGGCCTGAAGTTGACCCAAGGTTGGCGGCCCATTGACATCTGGAAAACCTTGCATCTTCTACAGTGGATTCAATACCGAAGGACCTCTTGTTAGAGGTCCGGATTAAAGTTTTCTTGTGATACTCAGTGAATACGGAAAAATGATTGTTCAAAGACAGAAGAACGGATTGAAGAGAGAAACGGCGGCCGAGAAAAGTTGAGATTAATAGCGAAATCTCTTTGAATTTGACTCAAAGATTGAAAGAGATTGGCAGTACAAGAACATGTGAAGAAGCGACGTGTGGGGTTTTAGGAGAACACGGCAAATTATTTGGTTTTTGAGAAAGATCTGCACAAGATTTAAATACAATTTGGTGATTAAATCATTGCTTCAAAATTCCGTAAAATATATTTAATTTCTCATAAATTATTTAAAATATGATAAATAAATTTTTATTTTTCCTTTCATTTAGATTTATGGTAAAAATAATAAGAAGAAGAAGAAAATAAATAATCATCCAACAAAAAAAAATTAAAGTTCTTCCTCAATCTGACCAGACAACTAATGCATTCCACTTATTGAACGTCAATATGGTCAATCTACGACTCTTAGATATCAAAGATGGGTAGTCTCGTAGTTCCTAGGGGTGGAGTCGATGGGTGGTTGGTTCTTGGAATTTTCCTTCCTTTTGTTTCATTTCGCTCAAAGGGTTGAAGGATCTCGTGCATAAAGTTGTTTGCAGGGTCGACGTGATCTTCTTCCCCATTGATCCTAGATCAATTTCACGAGTTTAATAAGAAAGAATGAGCTCATCAAAAGACTTTGTGACCATTGGCACGTCATAAAAAGACCTCTTTTTATATGTTCTCCTTGATTTGAGAGCAAGCTCACTTTTTTATATAGAAAGATTGTAACAACTCAAGCCCACCGTTACTAGAAAATGGTGGATTGGGGGGTCCCACATCAATTGGAGAAGGGAACGAGTGTTAGGGAGAACGCTCGATTAAGGGAGTGAATTGTGAGATCCCACATCGATGGGGAAGGAGACGAAACATTTTTTATAAGAGTGTGGAAATCTCTCCCTAGTAGACGCGTTTTAAAACCGTGATATTAATAGTGATACGTAATAGGTCAAAGCAAACAATATCTACCAGCAGTGGGGTTGGATTGTTACAAAACTTCCTTGCATTGTATAAAAGAGACGTCCAACGAAAGAACGACGTAGAATAGAGCATTCTCTATTGTTAAATTGGATTTCTCAAAGTATGAAAAGGTTTCCAATTAGTTGATCTTAGTAGGTTTGTTGCAACTAAATTTCATAGAGTAGCAACCCTTTGGTTTATCACTCCTTGAGCAAGGAACAAAAGAACATAAATTGAACCCGATACCATTAGTATCCTTCACTCGTTATCTCATCATCTTCCCGACATTTTAAATTTATTTCTATTAAGATACTTGAGATCCCACGTCTCTTGACAAAGTCCAAAATATACATACTCGAGTCAATCATAGATGAGAACCCAGAAAACTTTCGTGGGAATGTTTATGCTTTACGTTACGAAACTAAGAAATTTATGTCAACCGAGATTATGGACACTGCACATAAGCTATCACTGTTTGAAAGAACCATCTATTCTTTCTCTCGATAATCAACATAGCTAGATCATGCTACCGAGGCCTCGAGATGGTCGTATAAAAGAAGACAAAGATTGCCACTCTCTAATTCAAACAAACCTACCTATCAATAAAATAGTTTTTTTAATATAAATATATTTAAAAATAAGTGGCAAAAATAGAATAAATTGAAAACTGACATAATTTCTAGATATACATTTTATTTTATTTTTTTAATGAAAAATCATAATCAAAGGTCATGAATTTAAAATATGAATATAAAATTAGGTAATTGAGAGAATAAATAAATAAATAAATAAATAAATAAAATATAAGAAGAGGCAACGACATGAGTCCGGCCACCGCTAATTGAACCTAATCATCGGTGGAAGTAAGACTCGTTTACGATGATGGCGGATTGAAAAAAGGATTATCATCACAATCAATTCCAACTCCCATTTCTCACAAACCCCTCTTCTCTCTAATGCCAATTCTCGGAGCTCACCCACTTTCGCTCTTCGCGTGATCTTCCTCTTCTAATTGGCGCCACGATCCTTTCTCTCTTTGTTTGATTTCATCGCCCCCAATTCCGTCCTCATAAACTGCGGCGGATTCTTTCTCTTTTTCAAGTCTTGGAGCGACGCCAAGGACTTGAGACAAACCCGCCATTCAACCCCTGCGAGGTGTTTCCAGGTACTAATTGCTTTCTTGTTTCGTGCATCTTTTTGGGGGGCGGGGGGATTGGTTTTTTTCTAGGGATACGTTTGGTTGTGGGGATAGTAGAATCTGTGTCTGGTTTAGTTGTGCTTTTGATTCTGTGGAAGGTGGTGAAAAATGGGGGAAATTAAATGTGTTGTTGTTGTTTTTGAGTGGAGATTTTGATTTTCTTGCTTATGGGTACTTCGAAATTTGGCAATGTGGGTTTTGGGGTTGAGATAATGGTTTTGAATTTTGGAAAGCTGTTTTTCCCTTCAATCATTGATGTTGTTACTTTACAGATTTTACTCGACTGCTTCACCATGCTGTAATGGAGCTTCACACCAGGATGTTTAAGTTTATGTGCACTTTAATATTTGAGCTCTTAGAATCGTGGAGATTCTATGGCTGTGAATAACTTCCTCTGTGAATTAAATAGGACCATGGATTGTGAAAAAGGCATACTCGTAAGGCTTTTAGCATAAAATTGGGTAGTTTTCTTGAGAAGGAAGACGAATGGAGGACTTTTCTAAATATGCCCATAGTCCTGCTCATTTAGCAGTTGCACGTCGGGACTACGTTGCTCTGAGATTCATTATCTCCAAACTACCACGACTGGCCAAGGCAGGTGAGGTCAACACTGAAGCGGAATCCATCGCAGCAGAGCTACAAGCTGATGCTGTGTCTGCTGTTATTGATCGGCGTGATGTCCCAGGACGTGAGACTCCTCTTCACCTTGCAGTACGTCTTTGCGACCCAATTTCTGCTGATATTTTGATGGCAGCTGGAGCAGATTGGAGTCTTCAGAATGAGTATGGTTGGAGTGCTCTTCAAGAGGCAGTTTGCAATAGAGATGATTCAATAGCTATGATTATTGCACGGCACTATCAGCCTCTAGCTTGGGCAAAGTGGTGTCGTAGGCTTCCGCGTATTGTTGCCTCTGCTGCTCGTATGCGTGATTTTTATATGGAAATGACTTTTCATTTTGAGAGCTCTGTAATTCCATTTATTGGGCGAATTGCTCCATCAGATACATACAGGATTTGGAAGCGTGGTTCCAATCTCCGTGCAGATATGACGCTTGCTGGTTTTGATGGTTTTCGAATTCAACGTTCTGACCAGACATTTCTCTTTCTTGGAGAGGGCTACTCTTCTGATGATAACGTCGTTACGTTACCACCTGGCTCTTTGATTGTTCTTACCCACAAAGAGAAGGAAATTACAAATGCTTTGGAAGGAGCTGGTGCACAACCAACTGATGCAGAAGTTGCTCATGAAGTGGATTTAATGTCAAGGACAAATATGTATAGACCAGGCATTGATGTAACCCAAGCTGAGTTGGTTCCTCATGTAAATTGGCGACGACAAGAAAGGATTGAGGTGGTTGGAAATTGGAAAGCAAAAATATACGACATGCTTCATGTAACGGTAAGTGTGAAATCAAGGCGAGTTCCTGGTGCTATGACTGATGAAGAGCTATTTGCTGCAGAAGATGAAGATAGATTAGCCCGTGACGAATATGATGACGTATTAACAGTTGAGGAGAGAAAGCAATTGGATTCAGCACTTCTTATGGGGAACTCCGATACCCATCTCGAGTATGAGGAACAAGGGGTTATTGATAGTCAGGAAAATGGATCAGTGGGTTCCTGCGACAATTTTGAATCCAATGGTATTGTTAAGGAGAAGAAGAGTTGGTTTGGTTGGAGCAAGAAAAATTCAAGGAGTAACAGTGTTGAGCTAGATGATTCAAAGATGAAGCAATTCTCAAAGTCGGCCCCAGAAGGTAGCAATCATAAAGTCGTCGAGCCTCCGAATTCTTCAGAAGATATGGGGGATAAGACCAAGAAGGGAAAAGATAAGAGTAGTAAGAAAAAGAAGAAGAAAGGAGCCACTAGTGAGTTAAAAAATGAGAGTGAATACAAAAAGAATTTGAGGCCAGTCTTATGGTTAACACAAGATTTCCCTTTGAAAACTGATGAGCTCCTGCCTTTGCTTGACATCCTTGCTAACAAGGTGAAGGCTATTAGGAGATTAAGGGAACTTTTGACTACCAAGTTGCCTATTGGCACCTTTCCTGTGAAGGTAATCCTATTGACTAGGCGCTTATCTGATTTTCCTAATACTAACTTGTTCTTATGTTCCTCTTTGTTTAGTGAACTCTTACATTGGTGCTATTTATTTCTATTCTTCAACGATGTTACATTGGCTAATTTTCATATCCTGTTCAATTGGACTAGTTGTTATTTGTTTCTTTTAGTTAAAAAACGCGGAAGATCATATGATATAGCTTTTTTCTTTTATTATCCTCTCTCTTTCCCTTTGGAAACGAGAGGTTATAAATGACGAAAAAGAACAATGAGCGAAATATACCCTCAATTGTTTCACATAGAGAAAAATATACCGCCAACAGATCGAAACCTCCTACTTTTGGGAAAAGGTGTTGTTTGAAAGCATTCAATGGGGACGTTTTGATAGCCAAATGAAAAGGAAAAAACAAAGCATGGTTCATCATTCTGTTGTACGTTTTGTATTGCACGTCAGTGTGCAGCGTCACTTTTTGTTCGACTACTGGGTCGGAAAGGAATGAAAGAATTTTGAGGAACAGTATGAGGTTTTGAAGATGTTTGGTAAAGATTCTTATTGTTATTGTTGGTAAAAAAAAATGTAAACCTCTTACATTAATGTTACTTTTAAAGGTTACCATTTGTATTCTAGATGGAAAGATATGTAATTTTTGGAGTATGTGATCTGTTTATCTCTCTTTTTTTTAATTTGCAAAGAGGGATCTACAGAAGCCTGAACTCGAAACTGAGGACAAAACAAATATTAATTAGATGGTCTAGTTACTTAACACTCAAATTTATGTATATCTTGGTTGATTCAATCCAGTGCATTTGATTTTAAAATGATGAGATTATTTTTGGCATTCAGGTCGCCATCCCTATTGTCCCGACAATCAGGGTGCTCGTTACTTTCACGAAGTTTGAAGAGCTTCAGCCAGCGGAAGAGTTTGCAACACCTCCTTCCAGTCCAGACCATTTCCCGGATGCTAAAGTTAAGGAATCAGACGGGTCCTCTTCATCATGGATCACGTGGATGAGAGGAAGTCGTGGTGCGCAATCAAGTGATGGCGACGGTCATAAGGACGAAGCCGATCCCTTCCATATACCCCCAGACTATACATGGGTTGATGCCAACGAGAAGCGACGGCGGATGAAGTCAAAGAAAGCCAAGAGTAAAAAGCATCGAAAACATGCGGCTGCCAAAGGTGGAAGTACGGCAACTCAGGTGTGTGAGGATATGTAAGAATATTTACATTACAATTGCAGTATTCTGATTGAGTTTCTTAAGCAATATGATGGCACAAATGCTGTTTATATGCATCTGAACATATTATTCCTTCTTTTAAGTCAATATGTAGTGTATGCTGAAAACTTGCAATGTTTTGTCAAGTTTTCTTGATTAAGGTTGCTCTTCCTCCTCCTTTTCATAAATTTACACTTTAATGTCTACTCTAATAGGGTACCCTTCCAAAATTGACTACATTTCCCCCCTAGGAAAGGGTGTTTTCATTCTGATTACATTGTTTCCTCGATCATCTAATTTATAGATTTTGAAAAAAACCGTTGTTAAATTGGCACTTGAGCACTTAGTGTAATGACCCGAGTCTACAACTAACAAATATTGTTCTCTTTGGGCTCTCTTCTAGATTTTCCCTCAAAGTTTTATAACACGTCAATTAGGGATAGGTTTCCACGCCCTTATAAGTTATGTTTCGTTTTCCTCTCTAACCAATGTGGGATCTCACACTTAGCTTGAGTCGAATCAAATGGGGGTGGAGGAAATAAACAACAGGTTTGAACCAAATCGATGTCGGGTTGGTTTCAAGGTAGGGTCAAACTCGATCCAAACCGAACTTCACAAAAAAGGGTTATTCATTAAGATTGGATGTGAATCTCATTCCTTGGAGTTCTTTTCGATCCATCAACCAAAAAAACCATAGTGATTCATTCGTGGGACAATTGTTTGGTGGTAATCTCGGGGTTATTCTTATTGTTCTTGCAATCCGATCCAATAGCTTTCTCTTATCTTTGAACAAATTATAAAAAAGTAGGACTATGAGTGAAACTTTAAGTCTATAAATATTGCTTCTAAGAAAGAAGCAATGGCATTAGATTATTGCATAAAATGGAGAGTTTTAGCCAATCATCTTATACACAATTTGTTGGAAGAGCTCCCAAGTTCAATTGGCAAATGGCTTCTTTAACAAAGCCAAGAAGCCAATTGTTTTCAATTGCACTGCACAGGATTGGAAATACCCTCTCGTATTCTCCTTAAGCTTTGCAGCGCCATCATTGAACATCTATCTCGACTCCTCGACACACTGCTATAAACCTGTTGCATCTGATTTGGATCGTTTTGCGTCTGGGGAAGAGATATCATCACTTGATAGGATTGCTTCGCTTTCGTGTGCCTTTTGTTTCCTACTTGCAGCAGGCAAACCATCTTCATCAGCATTGTCCATGCTCGTACCAGCTGCTACACGACCTTGTTCTGAATTTTCGGGTTGGTTGTCAGCAAGGGGCATATTCTCTAGGATTGATGAGGAGGTCTTCAGCTTGGTTTCCATCTTTCTTTGTTGCTCGAACATCTCCCGTAAATACTTACCTTGTTCTTCGATTCGAAGCTGCAAATTCCTTTGAATCTGTATAAACTTACCGAATTAGAATCTTTAAAAAACTCCACATCAACTTAGTGACCTTACTCTATTTGGTAGCACAGATATTAAGTCATAGAGACATGGTCATCATAGCATGAACTCGTTATCTCCCAAGTCATTTATTATTTTGATTCGCACCACTAGGTTATCGTATATTAGTTGAATATTGAATAGTTATGGCGCTCATATAGACAAATGGTGTTGTCGTTCTTAACATCTATCGAAAGAGGGCGAAGAAATGAGTTAATTTGACCAAAATTATCAGCCATATCCAGCTAGTACAAGGCTAAAGCATACTTCCACAATCCATGAAAATTTAGCTCAAGCTATAAAAATATGAAGGAACTTTCAGAAACAAACAAAATACACACCTCAAGTTGTTCATGGAGCCGCTTCTGGACATCCATTTGCAGACGCAAGGCTTCAGTTATCCCCATGCTCCTATTTTTTAGATCAATGTAAAGAACAAAAAAAAGTTCAACACTAAGCCCACCCCAAAAAATATGAATGTTTATAATCACACCCTTTCTCAAACAAAATATGAATGGCTTCGATTACAACCATCTAAGCACACACCCTAGTAATTGACTCTGATACCATTTGTAACAGCTCAAGCCTACCGCTAGCAGATATTACAGTCTTTTGGTTTTCCCTTCTAGGATTCCCTTCAAGGTTTTAAAACACGTTTGCCAGGGAGAGGTTTCCACACCCTTACAAGGAATGCTTTGTTCCACTCTCCCACCAATATGCGATCTCACAATCTACCACCCTTGGGGGCCCAGTGTCCTCGCTGGCACATAGTCCAGTAACTATATCTGATATCATCTGTAACAGCCCAAGCCTACTGCTAGCAAATATTGCCGTCTTTAGGTTTTCCCTTCTGGGATTCCCCTCAAGGTTTTAAAACGCATCTGCTAGGGAGAAGTTTCCACACCCTTAAAGGGAAAGTTTCGTACCCCTCTCCAACCAACGTGGATCTCACACAAAACGTTTCAAATTTATGATTTAACTCCTCCCTCCCAAAGTCAAAGACACCCACACATAGACAAAATATTAAGGCAAAAGACAACTTACGTTTTCAAGTCGAGAGATTTCATTTCCTCAATACGATTCAATTTTTTCCCTGAAGATCCTGGACAGAAAAATTAATTCAACCACCTCTCAGACTGATTTTTCATTGAAAGCCATCAGAAAAGGGGATAAAAATAGATTCAGAAGAGGTGCCAAAAGATAGCAAATGGCAGCAAGGCTAAAGCTAAACCTTGAAATTGACATGGTGCCAAAAGATAGTAATGATGTTCCCGGTGATGATAAACAAAGTAACAAAGTAAACACAAAAGCATAAGGGGAGCAGTCACCGCTACCTTCTGATGACTCCGGTTTATATCTGGCGGTTCTATATTTCTGGCATTTGAATGAAAATAAATACATTATAAATAAGCATGCCATGTGAAATCAAGAATGGAAAAATTGCAGAGTACCTGTAGGTGGCTCTTCACATGATAAATGGTGAGACCTTCAACATTCATGAGCTTTAAAACACCCTTAGGAGTGGCATCTGTTGAAGAGAAGTAATTGCAGCTTTTCAGGCATTCTAAAACAACAGTAAGAACATATTAGACAAATTAATATACTTTCACCGCCTCCAAGTTTATCGACAGCTTCTACAAATGACTCGTGAAGCTCCGGTGTCCATCGCATCCGAGGTCGGGTTGATGACACTGAGAGAGAATTAGAAACAGAATGAAACTCTGCCGTAGGTACAGAGTCAACTTGATTCGTTTGGTTCTCTGGAGCATGGAAATGAGCTGATGATGATTTTAGCACCTGCATCTCAAAAAGTTCATTTATTCTAGCATCCATAACTACAGTGGTTCTGTACTTTAACTAGAGACCAAGTTTGTCTAAGACACTTAGACAACTTGATAGAACTATACATTAGATTTTCACTTCATTCGACTCTTAATTCAATTCTTTCAAAGTCATTCATCATTTTCTCCATTTAGAAATATCCGCCCCTCTTCCATTATGTCTCAAAGAATGACCCGAACCAATTTAGTCTATTTTCATTGATAAAGAATCTGTCCAAGAAAAAGTTTTGATATCAAATGATAAAGAATCACTATAAGGGAAGTGAGATTCAAATTACTTTATCGATCAAATATCTCAAGTTAAGAACACTTGTTTAAGATTCGAATCACTCCATAAGTTAGATCAATCATGTCTAGCTTGAATGATTCTACCTATAATCTAAACTATATAGAATTGCAAAGAAGCACAAATGCTCCTTTTTCTACATTTTCCAACTTTACTTTACAAAAATAACATACATGACTTTTTATAGCCTCAAAATGAAAATCCTTAACCTTACATGAGGCATTCCAAGAGTTGTAATTTTCATACTTCATGACTATTGTTGCCACTATGTATATTTTATGGCCATAATTAGCTACTATGTAAATAAGCCTTAAAATACATTAAAAAAAGCACCATAACTCTAAATTATCGTCCATCACAAATTTGTAGCCATGTAAAAACAAAATTAAGCCTCACTAAAGTATCTTGAAGCCTTTGTTGCATAAATGAAGCTTGATTCTTCTTAACGTGACGTTAATATTGCATAACCGAGATGCCTTGGTTCATTTGAATCTGAACTATCCCGAGTCATTTTGACTAACTTATTTTCCCTCTCTTTCTTTCCTTTTTTTCTTTTTGAAAAAATTCCCTATGTTGAGCGAACACACCCACAAAGTGCAATGCAATTAAGAGGAGGATAATTGAGCACAAAAAGATCTTAATGTTTCATGAAAGAATGAACCAACCTCTACTTTAGCATCTCCAGCGTTAGCATCAGAAAAAATCTCACTCCAATTTGGCTCCATGGCATCATCAACAGAAATGAACTGATCAGCCCAATCAGGCCAATCATTCCTCTTAGCTCGGTCATCCGACATTAGTACACCGGCCAAGCTTTGCGCTTCAACGTTCTGGTCAGCAACATTCTCAGAGAAATCAAGCAAATCCTGAAGAGCATCAGTACTCCAAGATGAACCGTTTTCATTCAAGTCATTAGTAACCATTGTGGACTGTTCTTCTGAATGGGAAGAACCATGAAGAAGCAACAAAGATCCATCATCATCAGACCGAGAAACGAACGACGAAAACTGGACATTTCTCTCTCGAGACAATGGTTGCATCAATGGAAAATCGTTTCGAAATCCAGAGGAAGATGAAAACAAATGTCCAACAGTGCCACTGTTAGAAACTAATGGAGGAACCTGCCTGGGAATTGGATGTCTCATGGCTTCACTTTCTGGGGAAACCTGAAAAGAAACAGGCAATTAGGGATACTTTTCTTCAAATGGCTTCGGAAGAACTTGATACGATGATCACATAACTTTGGAAGCAACCCTCTTCCAATCACTCTGTAGCATACAAAAACATATCCAAATCATAATATTACAGAGTTCATACAGTCATAGAAAGCTCGTTCAATATCTCCAGAATTCAAAACAAAGATACAAAGAACACAAAACAAATAGAAAACTAATAGAAAACGAAATCAACCAACAAAATTTCAGCCCAGAGTTTGAATGAACAAGAAGAACAGTCCCAAATCACAAAACCATAAAAGGGGCAAACCAGAATCACTTACCCCAGAGCTCGAAACAGTCCCAAATCGCAACAACGCTTAGAAATCGAAACGGAAATCCGATGCGAAGAGGCAATAGGGCTCCGATGCACCCGATGGCTTTGTCGTTTTGACG